TCCTTCACCTGTTCATGAGTTGAAAAGGATGAGTTTTTCTCTGGACCCACCCACCTGATCAGAAGTTGATCCCGACACCTCCTCATGAAGGATTTCTGGGTATGTTTAAGAGGCAGGTGAGGTAGATGCTGTATGTTGAGGGGGTTGTATATCCCGTCAGACCTGGAAATGCCTGAGTCTGATTGGACTCAAAACTTACAGAAGAATCATATACAGTCAACCATGTTTGTGTGCACATGCTTTCAACCGTGTCCCTATAAGCAGATACAAACAGAAGAAAAAAGCTAGCAGGAGTAGAAGAAGTGTGGAGGATCTGGTCTTGTTAGGGTGGGCAGAGGGAACAGATAGAGGAAAGGTGAAAGAGCAGATAGGGATTAGATAGCAGTCATGAAAGCCGGAGGGGATGGACATTGGGCACAGTAGTACCTTCCCCCAGTAGTTCCAGTTCACTGACTCACTGGAAAATGGGATGAAATATTGGTCTAAACAGGACAGGAGGGCTGGTTCACTTGAGTTCAGGTTTTTTAACTCTTGTAAAAAGGTAAACGATGAATATGATGCAAATTCACACATATAGTCTGCTCAGTTCACTCTGTTGGCATCTTTAAAGTCATGGATCAGAGGTCTGACCTTGTGTTCACACCAAGTGCGAATAAAAACATGTACTTGCTTAATTTGCATGAATGACTCGCTTTATTGGCGTGTTTGTATCGTGTCTGTAGAATCCAAACTCATGTGCGATTATGGGAGAGGAGAGAAAGAGAGGTGGGGTCCTTACATGTCAGGTCAGTCTGTTTACATCAAACAGAGCAGAGGTTGATCACACTGTGGGGATCTGCTAAGTTTAAACAACTAACCAGATAATGAGACCTCCTTACTCTCTTTCCTCCAGCTGAGTACTTTTTTACTCCTGTCTTAGTGACACACACAACTTTTATCCTACAGCTCAGGTGGTCTCATACTCCATCAATTGTTAATTCTCCATTTTCCACATGAGTAAATCTCTGCCGCAGTCTGTTGTTGACCAACGTCACTGGGGTGACATATGTCACCGGAATATCTCCATGGAAATTGGTTATTGTGATGCAAGAAAATTTTATCTCATGCAAATAGGTGTTTGAAGTGAATAGTGCGTTAGACAAGATGTGAATTCATGGTATTTGCTATTGCAATAGTCATGCACAATTCGCTTTATTTGTAACACCTAAGTAGAACGCGCGTCTAATCGCATCTTTGCATTGAATTTACTTGTAATTCACTCGGGCAAATGACTTTACTAACACTTGGTGTGAACACAGGGTTAGAAGAAGGTCAAACCTAGATGTGTGGCAAAAGGAAAAGATCTGCATTCACACATCAGGATCCAACCAAACCCACTGAAAGACCCATATTGCAGACTGAGACTTATGATGATGATTTGAAGAGCACAGATTGTGACTCATTGGCATCTGATGTGTAGAAAACGTCTGATGGACTGGTGTGTGTGTGTGTGTGTGTGCGTGCGTGTGCGCACTCGTAATACACAACAGCCAAGCAATCTATTGATTGGAGTTGTGCGTCATGGTAGTGACGCTTACCTGTGCTGACCACTCAGGTGCGGCTTTGAGCAAACGGCCACAGATTTTGAATTCTTATCTGTGATTGGTGGAAATCTACAATAAGACTTGAACGTTCATCATTTTGACCTCAGACTGCTTTTCCTTTGGACCTGCCACATCTTTGGCTTCGGTGCAACTTCTCCGAAGTTTTCAGACTTGCTGTTTTTGCTCCGGAGATTTCTCTTTTTTTTTTTTTGCAACTTTGTCTTTTTGCTTAGTTTTCTGAAAACCAAGCTGCACCCGTTAGGCCTTTCTGGACATATACAGTTTTTAGAGTAGCATTTTGTCTGTTTTTTTTTTTGCACAGCTCTCTTTTTTATAACAGTAAGACATGATTCTTTGTTTTGATGTTCCAACATGTTTGTCCTTTTATTATAATGTGCTTGATACGGAGTCACAGCTGGTTGTTTGATTTTTGGGTAGAATGGGTCAGAATAGTTCGCAGGTTCCAAGGTGGCCCCCAGAACAATCGGCTGACCGATTTAAGAATTAGGGGTGGGGTGGAGGGCACTGTTGTGTCAATGGTGTGGCTGTGGTCTGTTAGATCTGGATGTGTTTGTAAGTTGGTGTATTGCTTGTGGGGTAACTATGGTAACATGTTCTGGTGCTGGTGGACACTTGTGGTGCGATGTCCATTTCTGTGGGCAAATGTTCTGATTTATCAAATGAGTTTTCTTACAGAGATCAATGGATGCTCATGTCATTGAACAATATTAGGTTTTTCAGTGATCAGTTGGCTAGAGTGCTGATTATGTTGGTTACCTCCACCAAGGAGGTTATGTTTTCGGTAGCGCTGGTTTGTTTGTTTGTTTGTTTGTCTGTTACCAACTTTACGGAGAAAGTTACAGAAGGATTGACCTGAAGGATTCTTTTGAAGGATTTTGAAGGATTCTTTATCATTGTGAGATAGGGCAAATTTTGGAATTTTTGCATTTAACTCTATAAAAATGTCCAGAGTCTTTAGTAAAAAATTACACAAAAGGATCTCAATGAGTTTTATGAGGTGTCAAAGGTTGATCCTGATCCAGACAATATTCCGGATACTGTTATCCAGAACACACAAAAATAAGGGTGACGTTGGAATTTTCAGTGCTGAAAGATAACCTATGGTAACCAGTGGTGTAGATGGGTGGCACAGTGGTGTAGTGGTTGGCACTGTCACCTCACAGCAAGAAGGTCCTGGGTTCGAATCTGGGTCAGGGCATTTCTTGTTTTAGGAACATTATGAACAGTGAACATACCAGTTTAAACACAAATAAAAGTTAATAAAAGACACATAACAATAAAAGTTTTGGTGTGAATCACAATATAAGGGGGGACATGAGCTGCTTGGCGGAGGTCTGCGCTCTCTGAGTGCTTTTCTAGTTAATAATTGTGATTGCTTTAACTAGTGGTGTTCAGACAGTGTCAGTTTTTTTTTGTGTAGCTGTCAGGTGTTGTGCGTTTCTATTACATTAATGGTCTTTTGCTATTTTCTTCTTGCTATTAATATTTAATGCTGTTCGTCTGTGTCTGTGTGTGATTGGCAGTCTGATGTGTGTGTATTGAGAGTTTGCTAGTTCTACAATGGAATGAGATTTTGTGCAAGTAACTGTGCGCGCCAAGGTGGGGGTGTGAGGGGGGTGAGTAACTGATGTCACATCCTGGTGTGATGGACGGAACAGACATCACATCCGGGTGAAATGTCATTCACGCCTCATCCTGTGATGTCAAATCCGGTTATTCGGCACGAGGCGACTTAATATCCATTATATGTTGGTTTTAATAGTTGAATTTGTGCATCCATGCTGCTGTTTTAACTCCAACAAGTTACACACACAACCTCCTGCTGTTAGGACTCTAGAAAGGCTAACTACAATTCGCTGTTCAAACTTTTGATCTCATGTAGCAACTAGATGTCAGTTTAGAGTAGATTATTTGTCTCAGGGCAGAGGACGCAGTGACTGTGTTCGGTTTTTTGGCACCTACTGCTTGCTTCCTTGCTTCCCTCTTTCCCTGATCTGCCTGCCTTCTCTCAGTGCCTCCCAGGAAGCAGAGGGCCGGCCCACGCAGACCACACCTTTGAGGCGGCCTTTTATGAATGAAGCCACACCCTGTCAGTCTGCTCTCTCTCTCCTGTGGCTGTGCAGCTGCCTGCTGCTGAGGCCTACAGCCTGCTGCTGAGGCCTACAGCCTGGTGTAGTTTGGTGATTGTTTTCTGAGATACACATACATTACCCCACCTTCACCCACATGCACTACACCTGATTCTACACACACACACACACACACACACACACACAATTATGTATATTTTGGGGTTATTGTAGTTAAATAAACACTTTAGATCCTCAGAGCTCTGTGTCCCTTCTCTCCTTTGTTTCAACCTGAGAGCCAGGGTTGTAACAAATGGGGGCTCGTCCGAGATACTTAAGAATCCTGGATGGTAGTGTTGTTTGGTAGGCTACAGCTTCAGTTTTGTATTGTTGGATTGGTTTCATCTGTGGTCCATTGTGGTGAGTACCAAAAGCTGTTTGATGGGAGTATTTTGTTGCTGTAGCCTGAGGAAAGCAGTTTTGGGGAGAGGTTTTCACATCTCTGGGGAAATGTTTGTTGGGTCCGTGTGTGATGAGGTTGTTGGTTCATGAGTTGGTGTTGCTAACCTGGCTGTATTTTGTTGCCCTTAACCGCTGTGGTGCTATGAAACAGCCTAAGTCAGTGGAACTACTTTCCCGGTAGGTTTAAGAACGACCTCCAGTGAGCTCATTGTTTATTGTTTTGGTTTGTTATTTTTGTGCACTAGTGTGGCCACAGCAAATTTTGCTTCAGGTACACCTCCGTGACTGTCCAGGTGGGTCACTATTTCAATAGTTGCCCGGCCGAGTCATCGGGCTCTGTGTTTCAATTTCCCACCAATGCTAGTGCATGAAGACTAGGCTTGAGAGAGTCGGCTAGTTTTCTGGTTAGGCAGTCAGCTAGGGGAAAAGGATGTTTCATATTGTGGCTGTTGCACTGGGTTAAGGGGGAGTTTGTTCAGTTGTTGTGCTGTGCAGGTTAGTCTAACCCAAGTTTTGCCAGAAGTGTTTTTTCTTTCCTCCCCTTTTGTGTCTGGTTTGTGTGGGTTGGTTTGCAGAATCCAAGGGAGTATCTGTTAAACACACTCACTAAGGAGCAGTTATTTAGAGTGGCTGACCATTTTGAAGTTGAAGTCCCTAGTAAGGCCCACAAAGATTGGGAGTGTTGCCTGTGGCTGTTGAAGGCAGTGATGCCGTAAGTGCACTAACCCCTGTTTTACCTGCAGTTTTTCATCAGGTTAGTCCCCCAGAGCAGTCTTTGAAATGTGTGCGGCCTGTGGCTGGGGTGGGCATGTCTTTGACTTTTGATCAGCAAAAAGAGTTGTTGACCCTGCAGCATAAGTTGGAAATGGAGCGTGAGGATAAGGCTCAGGAGAGAGCCCAGGCACTGCATGCTGTTGAACTGGAGAAACTGAGATACACTGCCAGTTTACGTGAGGTTGAATTACTTCAGCAGAGGGAATAGCAACAGTTTGAATGTTACAAATTAGATTTGTTAGAGGAGGGGAAGATGGTTAATCCAGCACCAGGTGATTCTTTCAGTTGAGCTTCTCCCCTCACTCTTATTTTGCTTCATAAATACTAAAGTTGCTGAGTTAGGAGTGTATGGGTATTACTGTGATTAGATGACTATGTTGTGACTTCTGTGTTTTGCAGGACTTAACTTCATTAAGTGGCTCGGATACCCATTTAGTCGAGTTTGTGTTTTTTCTCATCCTGCAAAATCAACAATTCCTGTTCTGCCATGGATCTTGAAACAAGTACGTGAGTATCTACAGCATCTTTATCATACAACACTTTTTTTTTTCAAACGTATCTTAGTCACCTTGTATTATCATGTCTTTATCTGTTTTTAAAGCTGGATGTGTCAGGCCGAAGGTAAATACGATGAGTAGAAAGTACAGATGGAAAGGCAAACCGTCTATTAAAAGGTATGCAAGTCTGTCTTTTACTGTCTAACTACAATAGTATTTGCTATTTAGTAAACACCTAATTAACCACTGAATTATTGTAGGTACCCCATGGGTGCAAACTACCAGGCAGGGGCATACCTAATCACCAAAGAAGATGATGATGATTTTCAAGGTTTGTCTCTAGATATTAGTGTACAATCTCATGGGTGCGGAACATGCAAAATTGTTTTATACCATTTCTGTGTTTTCTATTTTTTAATCTCAAGTGGCAAAGGTGAGCAAGCAGCAGCAGCTAAAGCGCAAATCAACAAGAAAGACACCACAGGCATGTAAAAGGTATGTATAATGTGTACATACTGTGTACACCCAAACCCCGGACGGTACACGGCGAGTTGAAGAGAAGAAGTTGTCACTTGTGCCACCACAAAGCGATTTCGATATTATTGCCTTTTTTGAAAGTTTTGATTACGGTGTTCCTGCAGTGGCTAGCAGTCAATCACATGTAGTCAGCATGGTCAACAATGCTCAGGATGATCAAATTTTAATCGACGGGGCAGGTGGGGATTATTTAAACACAATACCTGCATTTACCTGCAGGGTGTTTCAGAAAGTGTTGATCTCAACATAGCCAAATCGGACCTGTCGGAAATAAATCGACTTTGTTTAGAGTTGTCTAAATCGCAGCATTGTGTGGTATCGGATAACTCTGTGGCAGCAGGATTCAGCAGGAGTGAGCAAGCCACACAGGCCTCAGCAGTGTGTATTGAGGACTGTGTCAGCACACTACGGGCAATCAAAAGAGGTTTTTAGGGTCTCAACAACTATTCAGACTCTGTAAACAATGGTTTTGAAAAGTTGCAAGAATCAAATGACATCTTATCAGACTTTGTGAAAGCACAAAACCAGACGCTTGATTTACATGCCAAAAACACAAAAAATTTAGAATAAGCAATAGCAATGCAATTTGACCCAATAATAGTTCAAATGTAGCACACACACACACACACACACACACACACACACACACACACATACTACAACGGAACCGCCCCCAAAAAAAATTCAAACCAGGTGAGGACTTCAGATGTGTTGCTGACGATGATGGTTCTGTTCGGAGACGTCAGTTCTCTTTTATCAGTGACGCTACCTATGCGGCGGTGTCAAATCCTGGTGATGCATTTAGTGAGGTAGCGGCGATAGCCACAGAGATGACGAAACAACTGTTTCTGCTGAAAATTTTCGTGTCTCAGTTACCAGATGGTGGTGGTGATCGTTCTGTGAGTGTTGACAGAGGACCTTCTGAAACAAATAATTTTGTGTTGAATCCTGAATTACATTGTGAATCATTAGTGAGCGCTGTCTCCCCACCAGCATCAGCTCTAGTTGGTGGCGGAAGTGTTGGTGAATTGTTGGTGAATGAATCAATAGTGAGTGTTGCCTCTCCTGTAGATCAGGTTGGTGGTGGTAGTGTTAGTGGTGTTGAGGAGTCTGCAGCCTCATCTTCTAATACTACAGATGATGTTGATGGGCATGAGCATGTTCATTTCAGAGAGGTACCCACATTCAATTCCTTTGAATTAAGACAATGCATTGAATTGAGAGACATCAATCCTGGTAATGTGGATCAAATACCCGTACAGGTAAGGAATAGTCTGTGCAGCGTGATTGATTGTGCTTTGTCGGATTCACCTCAGGGGAGTGTTTTAAACGTGGTGTTGAGAGGCTTAAATAAACAGGCAGTTTTACATGCACACGACGAATACAGCTCTGATTTGTTTTTAGAAGAAATTGCTTAGGCCATGCAGAGTAATGACACTTCCATGACTGATGACGAGATAGAGTTTATAGTCACAGTTGCGAGGGGCAGAAGTGGTGGCGTGCGCGCCCTTGAAATTGAGTAGTGTTTCATATGATGAAATCCTGCTTAAAAAGGGCAAGCATCTGTACAACCCAGTGAAAACAGAAAATAATCTTTGTTTCTCTATATGTCTAGCCCATGCTGTCCACCCTGATATGTCTGAGAGCGAAAAAGATCAATTTGCAAAGCAGTTCTGTAGAGCCGTCGGGTTTGACCCCATGAACAAGGTGTCATTTTCAGACATCACAAAATTTGAAAAACAATTGGATGTAAAAATAATAGTCTTTCACCACAGCACAGGACATAAGCGTCTGGTGAATTATCAAACAGTTTGATTTGGTAAAAAAATGTTACAGTGCTGCAATACACATTATGCACCTCAAGACCAATAGGGTAGAATATATTTTGAAAACCCTGGCTGATCTAAATGTTCTGTTATCAACAATACCCAACACACAAGTCCGTAGTGCCATAGCAGATTATAAAAAGGGTTAGGCGGATGCTGGGAAAAAAAGAAAACTCTCTGACCCCAATGCACACAGCTCTCCTGTAGGGATACTTGGGTCTGCTAACACTTGGTTGGATTTTTGATCAATTTTATTCTATTTTGTAACTGTTTTGCTTTTCATGAAAGTGTCATTGTTGTAATTTTTCTGAATTCTTAATTTTTTTAAATTTATTTGTATTATTATTGTTGTCACTGTTGTTGTTTACTCTGTTATGGTTGATTAAACTGAGTGTGCAGAGGCCTGTACTACGAAGCTGGATTTGGTCTTAGCGAGATAACTTCTGGATAACTTCTGGGTTTTCCGTACTACGAAGGTGGATCTCTTTTTATCCGGGTCCGTTGCCCCGGTAACTTATGCGGAACGCCAAACATATATATATATATATATATATGTTTATATGTTTGAGTCACTGTTGCCTTTCTATCAGCTCGAACCAGTCTGGCCATTCTCCTCTGACCTCTGGCATCAACAAGGCATTTCTGCCCACAGAACTGCCGCTCACTGGATATTTTTTCTTTTTCGGACCATTCTCTGTAAACCCTAGAGATGGTTGTGCGTGAAAATCCCAGTAGATCAGCAGTTTCTGAAATACTCAGACACGCCCTTCTGGCACCAACAACCATGCCACGTTCAAAGTCACTCAAATCACCTTTCTTCCCCATACTGATGCTCGGTTTGAACTGCAGGAGATTGTCTTGACCATGTCTACATGCCTAAATGCACTAAGTTGCTGCCATGTGATTGGCTGATTAGAAATTAAGTGTTAACGAGCAGTTGGACAGGTGTACCTAATAAAGTGGCCGGTGAGAGTGTATACATATATATATATATATATATATATATATATATATATATATTAAGGCTGTCAAAGTTAACGCGTTATTGTCGCGTTAACTCGAGTGACTTTTATCGCCACTAATTTTTTTGACGCACGATTAACGCAAGCCTTAGCCTGGCTTGACCAAACTATACACACACTGCGTGGATATTCTTGCCGTTGTAGAGGAACAGTTGGTGAGGTGTCCAGGCTATGTGAGCCTCGGGGCACTCCGTAGTTTCGCGAATCAGGAAGTAGTGCACTGACTGATACCGCGGCAGACATAAACAAATCCCTGTGAGCAGTAACTAGGATATAATGGATAAGAACACTATTTTGAACGGAGAGTTCAGCTACAAAGCCTTGCCAGATGTCTCTCTGACAGGACAAAAGTCATGTGTGTTTCCTGCCGAGCTGAATTTAGTTACCACCAGAGTACGTCCAGTCTCAAATATCACTTGTCGGCCAAGCACACAGCTGATGCAGAGAGCCCCGTGTATATATATATACACACACACACACACACATATACATATATATATATATACATATACATACATACACATATATATATATATATATATATATATATATATATATATATATATATATATATATATATATATATATAGCGTTGCATTGTCACGTGCTCATCAGGTGGGGGAGTGTGTTACATTGTGACGTGTTCATCAGCGCAGTGTGTGATTGGCTGGGGTGCGTGCTTAAGAGTTCAGTGTCTTTAAAAGAGAACTGTAAAGCTGCACCAAGAAATGAGAACCGAGAAACTACGGTGAGTACAAGTTTTCTCCGTGTTGTGTAAGTGCTATCTAAATGAATGATGTGCTATTGATGTCATGTGTGCAAACATTGTTTTTTTTATTTTGCAGATGGCCTCACCTGTGAAACTGCCATCTGGTGCTAGTGAGAACCCCGACCCCGAAGTGCGCGAGATGCCAAGTTTTGTCAGTGAGTAAATGGACAGCACAAGCTATTTATGTGGATTCTACTTTATAGTTACACAAGTAAAGTAGTGGATTTAAATTATTTGGATTGGACTGTGGTGGATGAAGTTCTTATGCAAAATTTGTGTTTGGCAATTAAAAGGTTGTACGGGATCTGATTTGACTGTTATCACGTGTTGTGGTGTATTATCTAGTGGGGTGGAGATAGTTTTATAGGGAGAGGATTTATGTATATGTAATAGTGGTAGGTATTCTGCTATTAAGGACATAATGAAGACCAGTGTTTTTGTGTGAACACAGTACAACAAAATTTCTTTTGTTATTAAGTAGGTAGCAGCTGCATTGGTCACTTTAGACATGTATGTGTACTGCAGAGCACACATTCTGTAGACGGAGAAGTTAAATTAAATGAATTGCACGTTAATTGTGTGTGTGTTGTTCTTTTGAAAGTAAAGTTAAGATTTGTGGTTAAATGTGTGTGTTGTTGTGGAGAATCTTGAAAACTTAAAAAAATAGTAACTGGACTGTGTAGAATTCAGAAAACATTTTGCTTCTTATCCAAGAAGCTTCTTCATTTCATAATTGCTAGTGTGAGGAGCAGATATGTGTTTTACTGAAGAAAATGCACAGAAAACAACTGGGAGGTGTTGGGTCGTCAACTTTGGGTGTGTCCCCTTTTATTTTAGTTAACCTGAAAGGGTTAACAACTTAGACAAAGCCCCTGTGATGTAACCACACCCAGGGTACTTCGTCCCAGGTGTGAGTCTGTATGTTGATGTCTGAAACTGGTTTTTAGGTTCAAATGAGCATAATTTGTGTTTTTGGTGCTGTTGTTATGATTAATTATTCCTGTCTGTTTTTTGTTTCAGTATGCAATAAAGGACCAAACCCTGGACAGGGGGGCCCTCTTTGGGGAGAGCATGGCATGCCATACCTATCCAATAAATACCACAACAAGGATGGCACGCCGCATGAAGGCAGCAGAGGAACGCTCTGCATGTTTAGAGAAAGTGCTAAACACTTATAAAGAAGTTACAAGGTTAAAGCAGGCCAACCTCACGCTGACAAAGCAGTTAGAGGCAGCCCAACTGAGTCTTGAGAGCTTGTGTAAGTATTACATGGGTCATATGGGTGGTTTTTATTGGTGAAAATTATGTGTTACTAACAAGTTAAATTAATGTAATATGTAGTTAATATTAGCACCCTTTGAAGTTGTTGCGTTTTTATATGTGTACATGTGTGTAATTTGTTTTTGACTGTTGTGTGTCATAAAAATGCATTTGTCTTTGTATGTGTTGTTGTGTATGTGGTCAGTATATTTCTAATTGGTGAAATGTTGTTTGAAATATTTTTAGTTGGACCTGACGACTTGTTCAAAAGTGTGGAGAAGGCTGGTGAGCTTGCCAGCAATACGTCAGGATTGGAAAGTGAGTATGTGGCATTGTTTGTAATTAGCAAGATTACCAACTTATATCCTCTTTTTTGCTAATGTGAAGCCAACAATAAGGTTATGTTTTTGTGTTCATCTTGTCATGTGGACATGTTGCATGTCCCATTTTTATGTAGAGTGAAAGTGATATTGTAAAACATTATTAACATTGATTTGAATCATGTGTAGGTGTACCACCAGTAAAGGCAGCTGAAAGTCATACCACATCAGCTGGGGAAGCAGTGGCTGGTGTCCTCGAAGGCATGGAGGAGGGGGGGAATTTACACAATGCCTCTAACTTAGAAGGAGTTGTGGAAATGACTGGGTCTTGAGAAGCACAGTATTACCATTTTGGTAAATAAAGGCTTGTTATGAAAACTATATGAATGTTTACTTAAATGTGTTTTATGTGCACACTGCAGCCACATTGTGTGGTCAAACGAAAACATTTCTGATGGAGCAGTTATGCGTCACACATCTGTGTTGCTAAACCATTTTCCATGTAAATTGTTAGCATACCAACAGAGTGATTAGCACATCCCAATCAACCATTAACTTTGGTGTTGATCGTTGAAAGTAATCCTCATGTATTTGCTTTTGAAAGGATGCTTACATCCTGGGTCAAGAGTGGGCCTTCAATAATAACAGTCTTCTGCACTGATGATGTCTGCAATGAGATGTACTATATATATATATATAAATATATATATATATATATATATATATAGATATATCTACATATACACAATGACCAACTAAAACACACGTATGAAATAGCCCCCCAAAACAAAATGGTTTTTGTGAAAACTACATAAACACAGAGTATGTAAACAAAAATAGAAAAAAGAAATAGTGAAAACCAAACATTAACCCTTCAGAGTCCATTTAACTGAAAAAGAGCCATTTGATGAAAAACTAGAAACTAAATTGAGTATAACTGCTTGTTTACTCCAGTAAATTGGATAATTTTTTGTATACATGCTTAATTTGACATACTTTTTGATAAAATGACCTCAAAGCTTTCACAAAGTCAATAATACACCCAAGACAAATTTTGTTCCTTTAGTGCACCTCAGTGGCCGAAAAAAGCTACTACATTTGTCTGCTGTAAAATCATATTGAATTCACAGTTTTTCCAGATCTTTTCACATACATCCAGAGCCGGATTAACCATGAGGCATAGTGAGGCTGAAACCTCAGGGCGTTTGGCTATGGGGGGCCACTCAGCCCCAGCAGAAGCCGCTATGACGCTGATGAGCTGCGCCCGGAGTGAGGAGAATTAGGCTGTATTGCGACAGAGGAAAAAGTGTTTAGAAAGTGAATCTCGTTCCACTTCAGAAGGGCAACATAGTCTTAGATTCATAAAATAGCTCTATTGATAGTTAGTACTAAAAAAAATATCTACTCATGCCATCCTGTCGATTTTTAGTAATCAGTGTTTCGGTGTCGAACTATTTCCTTTCTGCGGCGCAGTGATACTTGCATACGCGCAATCGAATATGCAGAGGGGTGAAGCGATTTTTGTCACGTGGACTAATAGGAGCCGAGTCTCGTTGCCATAGTATCAGAAATACACAAACATGGCGACGAGCGCATCTACCAGCGAGACAAGCGAAGAGGAAGAAATGAACAGGAAAAAAAGAAAACAGCCTTCAAAAGTGCATCAAAAAGGAACGAAACAATGCTATATGCATCTATCATCTGTCCAGAGTGAAGACGTTCTCGACCTTACAAGGACATGTTGGGAAACTTACAGAACTAATATTAGAAAGTGTTCTTTTATATATATATTCTTTTGTCTCACTCTGTAGAGAAAGCCAGCCAGAAATGTACATATATGTGAGTAACACTAAAAACGATTATATGGTGCTGCTGTTTTTGCTTGTAGAAACTGCTATGTTGATTCTGGCAAGACAATATCTTTCTCAAGTGTCATAAATACATCTACCTAACATCTGAAACAGTTATCAGTGCCTTAGTGTACGCATAAGTGAATTCAGATTATGAAATGTAGCAAATTTCTTGAAGAAAATGTCTCAACTCAAGAGATTTGCACCCAGCACAATGAAATATATACAGTAAATTTAGCTAAAAGCTTATGTTTCATACATAAAAATGATACAACCTACTGTGTAATAAAAGCAATAAAATATTTACAGCACATCATGGCCCTGAATGGCTGAAAGTCCCCAAAATTGGTATGTTGGAAAAAATGTAACAAGACAAAAATACGAGTCCCGCATCTTCAGAGAGTCACAGCTGTGCAGGAAACTCGAGCAGGGTAAAACTACTGTACACTGAATCTGTTCTTTGATGTCAACCACATTTTCAGCTCCTCAAGGCTCTTCCTCTTTATCTGCAGGGCTCTTCAGTGGAGTGCTGCTGGGAGACAGAGGGTACGCCTGCCAGCCCTACCTGCTGACCCCCTATCCTGACCCGGGTGCCGGTCCGCAAACTTTGTTTAATGTGGCCCTGGCTAAAACCAGGGTCAGGATAGAGATGACCTTTGGGGTCATCAAGGCCCGCTTCACCTGTCTCCGTGGGCTCAGGATGGCTCCAGAGAGGGCCTGCAGGGTGATTTCGGCTTGTGTGGTGCTGCACAATATAGCAGCCATACGGCGGGAGAGGGTCCCTCCTGTCCACCTGCGCTCAATGTCCTCTTCCAGCTGTCTTTTGTATAGCGCCCTCACTGTATCGGCCACGGGCTGAAATCAAACACATGCAGTTGCTCTAATGTCCAAGCATTTCCCTCTTTACATTGTGTGCTTGAAAATGTGCCTGTAAAACTTTGGTTAATGTGAAAATGGATTACATTTTGTGATTCCCTTGTCTTGGCTGGTCTGGAGGTGGAGGCCACTGGCTCAGGGGCAGCTGGGTTTGCCTCTTCCTGTGAAAGAAGAACAATTGAAATTGAGACACTTGTCATTCCCAGCAGCAGATCCCATCACCTGTGGAATTTGCCATTGATAAATACATCAGTGATGACAAAGGTTTTGTTGGGTGAAGGAATCATCAGCAGCCACAGGTGAATTATGTGAGTGGCTGGTTGAATTTGCAGTTACCTCTGTACTGGGCAATGTTTGCTTGGGTGGAGGTAGCAGCATGACGGCCAGTGTGTCACTGTCCACTGGGGAGAAACATTAGAACATTAGCAGTCACCTTTTCACAAACAACTCTGTGCTTTTTGAGCAAGTCAGTGGTTTGCCTTTGCCTCACTGAAACAAAGCAGGAGCTCTGCGAGCTGCTACCTCCACCAGGGTCAGAAGTCACACCACCCTCGATGCCCTCAGTGGCTGGGGGACCCCTGTTTAAGGAGAGGGCCAGCTCCTCAGCCGGAGTGAAGTCCTCTGAAGTTACACATTAACACAATCGGCATTTTTTTGCCAGCAGTCCCTCCGGCTTCTGGCGGCTGCGGCGGAGTTGCTCCTCGCTGTGATTGCCTCTCGGAACTCCTCGTACTTTCGCAGGATAATATCCTGTTCTTCTGCCATGAAATACAACGCTCTCACTGTTTTATCCTTTGTGGAAAATGGTCCAGTGCCGCTAACTCTGCTCCTTTTACGTGTGCGCACAGATCCTAAGTGGCCACGCCTGGATTCAGTTATCAAGTTGATAACCGGCTTCGTAGTACAGCTGATCGGGATCGCAGCGATCCGGTGAAGTTGAGCGAGTTGTCGCAGAGTTATCCTGGGTGTGTTAATCCAGCTTCGTAGTACAGGCCTCAGGTGTGTAATAAAATCAAAATTTCTTGATGACACATCCTTGTTTTCTCTCCTTTTTTATTTCTCAAACCATAAACTACTACATTTTTACACTTTGAATGCATTTAAGTCTATATCCGCTACATACACCTGGTTGTATTTTGTTGACAAATCGACAGACCATGGCATCATTACACGGTGGATTTGGAGCATATATTTTCATCACACAGTTGTAAGACAGTCCTTTTTGTATTTGACATAAGAAAAAGACACAATGCTGTCCGCAGGTTGTGGCATGATGGTCCTGAACTCTTCTTTTTAAATAAGTCACAACCAAAGAGTTTTTCATGAGGAATCTGTTTATCTCAGAGGGGAAATTTATGCTGTTGGGCGGGTTACCAAAGCTGTCGAAAAAACGTCCTTATCTGTGTCTTGATATGTACATTGCCACCCAGTGCTCACCAGGTTTGTTGGAGGGGCGTGTGTTTTACAATTAACATGGTGGGTAATTTGGCAATTTTATATTTCGGTATCTCATCACACAGCATGACACCTAGTAAATTTGTACCGTTAATAATTTTTCTAGAAACAATACCCATCAATTCAAGCGTATTCATACCCATTTTAATAGTAATCCAGAAACTGGTGGAATTTCCACAAAAGTTGATTTTTCAATAGAGGTCTGGGTGTACGGCATGGTGAACAGATCCAGCTCTGTTTTCACACATTCTCCGACTGGTCGTGTATCAGCGACATGGTTGTAGATTTTTTCTCGGCTTAGAATATGTCTCTCTGTCCAACCCTTTTTCCCACACGCCATGCTCTGCAGGCTTTGCTGGTTGCTTTCTTTTTGACCGTTTTTCCCTTTGTTTTCTGGCTTTTAACGCCTTCCACAGAATGGAAGGAGGCTTTTTTGCACTCTTCCAGGGGTCCGTTTCACGTAGGTGGTTCAACAAACTCTGAGTTAAATCCTTAACTCAGAGTTTCCTATCACAGAGTAGATCAACTCAGAGTTTCCGGTTTCACAACACCTGATTTGAGTTAGTTTTAGCAACTCCAAGTAGTTTCACCTGGAGTTAAGCATGTGCATGCCAGACATAAACAGCCAGCATCTGTGGAGCCCAGATTCATTGATCAACCAATGGAAACAGGGAGAAGGAGGGCAGCATTTTTTACGCAAGTGGAGCTGGAAGTCTTGATGCAAGCCTACGGCGAATTACAGCACGTTTGTAAAAGAAAGTGCAATACAGCAGCAGCTGCAAAGGAGAGGGAGAGGGCATGGGAGGAAATTGCTGCTCGCGTCAATGCGTAACTTTAAATCTAGTCTTGTGCAATCACAATGACAGACTGTTGCAGGGGAAACTGCGTGCATGGAGCAAATTAATTTATTTTATGAAGTTGCAATCCAGCGGGTCAAAAACGCACTTGGCAGCAGCTGAAAATGAAATATAAAAACATTGTGCAAACAGGTGAGACATCGGCATTTTCTCATTTTGATCATGTTTTACATTGTCAAGTAAGTATTAAGTATTCAATAGAGACGTGCACTTGTTCCATATATTTCACTGTCGTGCCAGATGTGATCCTTCTAAACGTGCAAAAGGCATCTGACTTTGATGGCCCCACATGATGTTGCAACCTGATATAAAGGGTGGTCTACCCTTCTGTAGCTCCTAACTAATAAGAACCACAACACCTATGTATTCAGCAACATATTTTAGATTTAAAAAATAAGAATAATTAAGAAAAAAAAAACATATAATCATATGTGCAGTCAGCCAATCAGAGCATCCATTACTTCAGCCACAATCAGGAACACCTGGTTAGGCCAAAAAAGATATAAATAGGGGTTTCCAAACAATTTTGACTTGTTCCAAGTCAGGGAATCAACAGTGCGAGAGAGAGAGACAGAGAGAGAGAGAGAGAGAGAGAGAGAGAGAGACAGACAGAGATACAGAGAGACATAGGTGAGTGAGGTAGTATATTGCTGTTGTTTGTTGTACAGCTTGTGTTTTCTGCATTGTTTTGTGTGACATTGTGTTGTCTCTTGACCTTGTGGTGAATTTATTTGTCGTCTGGTTTTGTGCATTCTGTATTGCTTTTTGTGAAATTTAGTTGTGTGTGGGCCTTGTGGTGCGTTCTTCTTGTCATTGTTGTATATTTTTTGTGTCCAGTCTGACTGTCGTGTTGATTTGTGTCTAATTGCATGCCTGTTACCTGTTGTGTTTTACATCTGTGTTTTTGATATTTGTGCTGTTGTGTTTTGTGTAAAGTAGTGGTCAGGTAAGCTAGAATAAAGTTAAGCTGAGGTAAGGACATTGTGTGTTTCAATAGTAAGTGCGAGAGGTAAGTTGTGTTTGTGTAAAAGGTAAGTTGCAGTAAGGCTGGTAGGTAAGATAAAGTTAAGTTAAAAGTAACAGGTAAGAAAAACAGGTAGGGCTGTTGTTAGGGCTAAGTAGCCAGATAAGTAGTCAGGTAGGAAGATTGTAGGTAAGGGTAGATCTACTCAGGTAAGTTCAGGGATGGACAGGGACCGTGTCTGGGAGATAACCAATTATTTGGTTAATAATGTCTTCCCGGAAGGGTGTTCCTCCAGAGGCAGATTCATCAGCCGCCGTAGATGTGAGAATTTCCTCATACGAGGTAAGAAAAGCCTGAATAGCAGATTGTACTTCCTTGAAAAAAATATAAATTGACAGTTTAATATCGGCCCGTTAGATGGCGAATTGCATTACATTTGCTGTCGACTGCGGCTGGGGGAACACGTGGCGAAGGTGGTCACCTCACCTCAGGAGGCAGATGACATTTTTAAAGCCTTCCATGAAAGCCAGCATGGAGGACATTGTGGGATGGAAAAAACCTTGGAATCAATTTCTAGAAGGTACTACTGGCCTGGCATGGAAAAAGACATCCGGCAATGGGTGAGTTGAAATGTAATTGTGATCAGTCTACTCTTTGTGATGTCTGGCATCAATTGGATTCACCTTCCTGTGGGGTCTGCTTTGATTCAGATAAAGGAGTGTCCGGAATGCCAGGCCAGGAGGAGTACACTAAAAGTGAAAACAGCCTACATCCCAATTGAGGTAGATGAAAATACAAACCTACTTTCCAACAGAATGAGGATTTCTTAATATCATGTGTATTTTCATTTAGGTGACCGAGCCACTGGAGCTGGTGGGGATGGACCTTGTTGGAAAACTGATTAGGACCAAAAATGGCAATCAGTACATTTGTGTGATGATTGATTATTTTACCAAATGGACGGAGGCTTATCCCCTGCAGTCGAAATCAGCAGCTGAGGTTACAAATTGCGTGTTGGATTTTTTCTATAAATTTGGAGCACCCAAACGGTTGTTAACAGACCAGGGTAAAGAGTTTGTAAACCAGGTAAGTGTGAGTGAGTGAGTGAGTGAGTGAGTGAGTGAGTGAGTGCATTTCATGTTGTATTTTTTTCTGGCAGGTCAACTACAGTGTCCGCAACTCGCTGGGGATAAAAAGGAGCCTTTGTGCCCCCTATCATCCCCAAACAAATGGCTTGGTGGAGAAGGTGAATGGCACCATTCAAAGGTTTGATGAAGGTCTTTGACTATCATTAATATTATTACCTTTTTGAGTCACATTGTAAGTGTGTGTGTGTATCTGTGTGTGGTATTTCCTTACAGGACACTGAACAAACTTGTCGGTGACCAACCCAACACATGGGATGAACACCTGGCATCCACCCTGTTTGCACTACAAACGAAGAAACAGTTGACCACCCAATTTTCTCCATACTTCCTTTTGTTTGGCAGGGAGGCGAGATATCCAACCGAAATTCCAGAGGAGTGTGAGGTATGGACAATGAATTGTTTGTAACATTTATTTGATATGACATAGCCATTTAAGAAGTGACACGATGCCTTACTGCTACAGGTAACACATGATGTTAGAAAAAAAGGACAGAGAAAATTTCGGATGGGCTGCAGGCCTTGGGAATATGCCATGAGAAGGCTGTGGAAAACACTCAAAGTCAGAGAGGTCCTGAAAAGAAAGAGGGAAGATGAGGGCCAGGATGACCATTTTCAGGTAGGGGATCTCGTCCTAAGAAAAAACATACCAGAGGAACAGAGAAAGGGTGACAAGATGGGCCGAGGGATGTTGGGGCCTTTTAAAATCATCAAGATTGAAAATAAAAGTGCTGACCTCGTCTCTGAAAAGGGGAAGACTACTTTAAAGGTCAATATTGATCAATTGTCTCATTACATTGAGCCAAAAAAGAGGGTCCTGCAGCATTGGAGAGAAGGGGAGCAACCACCAGCAACAGCCTCACCGCCACCATCATCTCCATCTCCACCAGCAGCTCCCTCCCTGCCACCTACTGCTCCATCCCTGCCACTATAATCTCCATCCCCGCCACCAGCAGCTCCATCTCCACCAGCAGCTCCCTCCCTGCCACCTACAGCTCCATCCCTGCCACTATCATCTCCATCCCCGCCACCAGCAGCTCCATCTCCACCATCGCCACCACCGTCTCCACCAGCAGCTCCCTCCCTGCCACCAGCAGCTCCATTCCCGCCACCAGCAGCTCCATCTCCACCAGCACCATCGCCACCCATCTCCACCAGCAGCAGCTCCATCTCCATCAGGAGCAATACCAGCAGAAGCTGAGGAGGAAGGTATACAGAGATATTGTCATTTGCAGATCAGTAGATTGATATTGGCAAACAACTAACTCTTCAAATCTTTTCCATCAGTTGTCCGAAAGATTTGGTACACTGAGGCCCCTGATATTTTATGGAGCAAGATCGGTCCCTACAACATATTTACCCAGAACTTGAGGGACCATCTTGCTCCAGGGAGGCAGGTGGAAAGTGAGGTAAGAAAGCACTTTTCTATTTGGAAGAGGGGGATTGTCCTTGACGCTTACTGGTTGGTTGGTCATTCATTACAGATAATCAACGCATACTTAACTTTGCGCCTACGCAACATCCCAAGATCCCATTACATAGATTCCTATGCAATGAGTGAAATGTGGCGGGGAAAATATAATGCACTTAAGAAAGTAAGTAATGATTCCCCATGTTGATCTTTTAGGGCTTTGCTGTAACATATAAAATTTGAAAATAAATATTTAGTGACCAACATGTGTAGGAAATGTTTCTTGAATTGTTTCTGTATAATGTAATATAATTGCAGGTGGAACCTATGGAATATGACATCTTGGTGGGAGCTATATGTGACAACAATCATTGGACATTGGCTGTGAGCTGTTTTTGCTGGCAACATTACAAGTAGATTTGATGGCTTCTGTCATGGTGAGTGTTAATCTTTCACAGGTGATCTACCCTCAAGCACACACAACCCTCTACTTGGACCCATTTGGAGCTTCCTCTGCTGCGCTGAAAAAATGCTCCAACGTGTCAAGGTAGGAAAGAACAGTAAGATTACTGAAAATCCAGATTTTGTTGATTAAACATACAATCTCTCCGCTAAAAGGGCATTCATGTGCAGGAGAGGAGTAAACTGCTCCGTTGGAGCTCATCAACCATTGACCACGAAGTCCAGCAGGACGGCACATCTTGTGGAGCCATAATATGCCAAGTAAGACATTTGTGAAAAATTGTGGAGGATCACTTGTGGCACAACATTGAAATGTGAAGAAACAGGTGTATTTGGACATTTTTACAATATATTATGAATATCATTCTAGTTGGCAGACAAGATTTTAAGACAGGAGGTGCTCCCAATGTTTGATTGCTGGAGCACAAATGCAGTCAGAATGAAAATTGCACTAACATTGATCTCAGAAACAGGTTAATTTCGTTATTTATTATCTCACGGTGTGATGTTGGTAATCCCTGTGAATAACTGTTCATGTTATCAACAGATGATCTCTCAGAAATATGCAGAGTTTGTGCCAACCCTGACACCCATGATACCTGGGTAAGTCAATCATCTATTTTTATTCTAGTATTTTATATTACTCTGTTTATTGTTGCACCATCATGCCAAAACGAATTCCTAGACTGTGAATCCTTATTGATCAGCACTCCCAGGTACTTATAGGAGGAGACTTGTTTGATGTTATGGTCATGAACAGTATTCTTGTTATCTTGTCTTTAAGCTGCTGCTCGACAGTTTGACCACAAAATGAGCCAGAAGCACTTCGAGGATACGGTCAAGTCTTGGCTGCGTTTTGCACCAAACCGACAGGCAGACATCCCAAGAAATGCTTTGGAGCAGCAGGGAGCTGTCCCTAGAAGTACTGATGCAGGTGGCAAATGACATTTTCTACTAATTTTCTACATTTTCTACATTTCTACTACTCTGGACTTTTCCTTTCAGCTACGTTATCAGCAATTGTCATTGCCTTGATGTTCAATAAATTTTAAGATTAAAATCATGTTGTCTGTCTTTATTTTTTAATTCATTTTTAATATTTATTTTCACATTTTAGGAAAAGGTAATTTTGAACAAGCTATTAAGATGTAGTCTTAAAGTATATCAGCATACACATAATTTAACATGTACATGCAGATTACCATTAGATTGTTGGATGATCAGGATCAGTATTGAATCCTAACATGATTCAATAAATTAATTTATGTACATGTAGGTTTCCATTTAGATGATGGTTAAATCAGTGTGACTCTAAATCCAAGTCTCATTTCAGCACCAATCAAAGTGGCACGAAGCGCACCTGGGAACAGGTGCGCACGAAATACAAGAACATCATTCAGAGTGGTAATTAAATTCAAATTATTTTATTGTTTTACAGTTGGAATGCCAACAGAAAGAAAGCAGAGGGGAAAGGAACTGGGGGGGGGGGGGGCATTGGGGTCGACCATTTATGGATGGCGTAGTGGGGGGCGTCTCCTCTGATCCATGTGGAAGTGGCAGCAGTCACCTCCAGGCCAAACTGTTGCGGGGTAAGATAATAATCCACTCAGAATTGCAAATTACACATGTGAGTGTGTTTTGACGTGGAATGGCAGCGCTGGGTTGATGATGTTGCCGTCGTTGTTGTCGGTGTGTGGGTGTTGTGTGCATGCGCCACGTTTCTTTATGTCCCCTTTACGACTGTTGGACCGGGAGGTTGCAGTCACCTTGTCAGGGGCTAAAAACCTCTACATCATAGTGCATAACCCTGTGAAAGACAATTGTGTCATGTAGAAGTTTTTCTTCCATCCCTGGGGGGTTTCCTTGAAGCTGGCTGAAGACTGGGCTATTGCCAGTAAGCGTGGTTTGAATAAGCGGCCACTTTAATCTGAGCTGCAACTCGTTTCACTAACGAAGCTAATCCAGACCCTAATTCTAGCCAGGCTGCAGCACACATAAAGCCCGACATGTCGATTGTCCAAATGACAAAATCATGTCATAATCAAGAGTGGAATCTTTTCCCTCAGTTGAGCAAAAACTCCTCATTAAGTTACATGAGGACTACAGAGTGACTATCACAATAAATGGCACAACAGTTGCAGTTAACATAGTCAGAGAAGCTGCCTGGCAAAGCATTGCTGACTGTTTAAATGCATAAGTAATTGTTTTCTTTTTTTAATGAATCACTTAGCCCATGCGTAAACACGCACACGTCTGGAAATTTAGATTTTCAGATTAGCACTGATTACAAATCACAAATAACCCATAACTGCAATGATTGTCTATTTAATTTGTTATGTTTTATTGGGTAAAATAGTTGTGACGTCTTTGTTTCATGATGCATTTTAACAGGAGCAATTTAAACAGCCAAAAAAAGGATCTGAATCTGATCAAGTAAGCAACCACTGTGTTTGTTGACAGCACAGGTGGCAATATAACTCTTCTTCTGCAGTTGCTTTAGCGAAATTAGTCAACTCTGTGCATGCCTAAACGCTTCTAATCGAAATTAAGCTTTGTGCTTATATGCACGTCATGATCAGATTATTTGATTTTGTGCCCATATAAACTGTGAATTTAGATTTTCCAATCCTTAAGATTTTTAATCAGATCAAGAAATTTTGCACATGTAAACACAGCTAATGTCCCATACTGAAAATTCACTCATCACCGTGCCTGAGTTTAAGTGTCAGGTGAAATACACACAGCTGCTCATGTACTGCAGGATCTTGCAGTCATGCAGTTGCAATACTGTTGAAGGTGTGTTGGTATTTTGGCATATTTTTAAAAAAGTTTTTAAATAACTACATTTTTAATGTCAAAAGCTAACTGGAAAATCACAAGTGCATCAAGTATGGGTGACACACATACACTGACATCGACAGAAACACTGAGGGGAAGACAGGGACTATATACACACACTGGGAAACGAGCAACAGGTGAGGCAAACGAGTAACAGGTGAGACTCATGAGTGATTAACAGAGGACAAAAAATTGAGGAAGTAAAACCAGACTAGACACACAAGGAGTGACTACTACAAAATAAAACAGGAAACTCTGAAAACTGAGCTAAGATACCAAACTGTGAACAACATGAGCGACAGGAAGATAAGAATATAAAGCACACAGGGAACAGAAACACAAGGAAATAATACACAGAGAATACAACTAAATAACAATACTATGAAAAAACTGAATACA